ATTGAGTTGAGAATGTCTTGCAATTTTGTAAAGTATCATAGGCCTCATGCTGAGTAAGAAAGAACAAGTACTCTCAAATAGTTGAAGGTACAAATATTAAGCCTTGGCGAAATGTGTAGTGAAATCCACAGTAATTGCTAACACTCACAATTAGAGTATTATTGTGGAAAAGCTCTAAAGAAACAGTTGTGGTATCATCAATGATCCATACTATAGTATAGCTTGACATGAGGCTTAAGGAATAGGCAAAAGGAGGTTAAGGGAATTAGTACCCGGATTTAACAATGATAGTCAACAGCAATAACCATTTAAACTAGTTAACTCCTAAAACAATAGGTCAAGTGTGTTGCCAAACACATTGACATTGAGTTATATGTTGTAAAGGAGAAAATCCAGAATCATTTTGAAAGCATTGAGCATATAAGTACCAAGCAAGTACTTGTGGATCCGCTTATCAAAGGCTAACCACCCAGTGCGTTTAGAGAACACACAGTCGATATGGGTTTACGAAAAAGCCTATGATTTCTAGATACTAAGGGCCTAGTTGAGAATCTATTTCAAAATAGAAAGATGCATTGTAGCTATTTAATCTAGTGACAACTAACGGTGACGATGAGGCACGCTCTATGCACTAATCTGTGATAGAATGGAAAAAGATAAAAGGAAGTTAAGTTTAAGTCATAAGGTGAGATCAAGGGGGGAATATTAGGTTGATCTTCACCAATTGGCTCGGCCAATTGGGCCCTTGATTCGTGCCCTGATCGGGGGCGCTTAGCCTTTCTACTGGTTGATGGGTCCCCTGTCGGGCAGCGCCATAAAAGGACGGTGAGGGCTATGGCACAAGAAATGAGGTTCACTATAACCGCCAGCGCCCCACCGAAGTTCCTAACCCTAGACCAATCGAGAGGGGCACTGTAAACGACGGGAAGCTCCATCGCCTTCACCGCTGCCACAACACCGTGCTTGTGCTACTGCTACCTTCGACGACTTGGCGGGCGCGTTGACGGCTACCTCTACTGCCTTCGCGGCCACCATGTTGGTGGCGCCATGGTCGTGACCGCACTTGACAAGGTATATCACCAAGTCCCCTATGTCTAAGTTAAGTCGAGTTTACCCACTAGATCAACACCTAGATGGTCCTTCAATTCTATCAGCCTTGTCCTCTGTGAGCACACCAAACTGCCTAGCTGACGCCCTCTGCCGCGTCTCTGGCTCCTCCTCGGACGACACCGGGTGCACGTCGATGTAGTCCGGCTGGCCTGACCACCCCAGCAGCGGCGCCCACCACTTGTCGACGCCTCCGCCGTCGGCGTGCACCCTCGAACCACCGGCGGTCGTTGAGGCAGAGCAAGCGCAGGGCCGGGCCACCGGTGCCAGCGCTGATGAGCGGACGGAGAAGACCATCCCTGATGACACTGCCATCTGCATTGGAGGACGTCTAGACCGGAGGGGAAAGGGATTTGAGGCTGATTGTGAGTTTGTGTGACCTACGGGTGGAGTGGATTCGGTGGGTGGGGGCTCCGTGATGGGGTGGTAAAGGTCATGGTGGTGGGACTTACAAAGTGTGCAATAAGAATGGAGGGAGGGAGGGAGGGATGAAGGGAGATGAACGAGTGGATAAGGTTTCGAGGCGAGGCAAGAGGGGGCCGCGGCGTGCGCTTTTTCTCGCGGGCCGTCGCTTTTACGGTGGAGTGGCCGAGCCGGGTGGGGGCGGTCCCGGTGCATGCTTGGTACGACAGTCTGTGGGGGTGCAGCTGGGCGGCCGATCAGGCTGGGGTGCGGCCTTTTGATTTTCGGGCAACTTCCTTAGGACGTTGGCTCGCTCGATGGCTCCTCTGTCGCTGAGTTCGGGGTCCGTTTCCATTGGTTCGGTTCCCAGTTCGCAAATGCCGTGGGCGTGGGGGCGCACTAGGTTCTCGGGCGTCGATTGGGATCTGGGGTTTTTTTCATGGGTTTTGAGTTTTGATTTCGGCAAGCCTAGCGCCTGGATGTCCGGCTCTATATCTACGTCTGAACACGGCTTTCGTTCGACGCAACCTCCGCATCCTCTCATGTAGGTTGCACCCACGCAACAGGAGAGCTTCCTCCCACTGCACCCATATCACTACGCGCCTACGCCGCGCGCCCCTGCTCCCATACCACAACGTACGTAGCCCCCTCCACCCAGCGCCCATCCCGCTCTGGAGGTAGCGTCCGTCTGTACAGAGCTCCCTCGCTTGCGCCTGACGCACATAGCTCCCTCGTCCCACACCCATCGCCCATCCCTCATTCGTATGGATGCCCTGTCAGCTCTAGGAGAGACGATACAACAGAAGGTGAGAAGAGAGATGCAACACCCAATTTACTTTTGAAACATTCAAATATAGCGGTTGCAACATATGCATGAAGGCAGTTGAAACACTTGAAACATGCTTACGAAACACTTTAAAAACACACATAAAACACACTTGAAAACCATTGCAATTATACGCAGCATCCGAATAAAACACATGCAACATATATGTAAAGCATACGCAACATAGATAAACACAATTGCAGCATGCATCTGGAAAACACAGATGAAACATTGGGGACAAAAGCTTACAACATAGTGTACAACCATTGCAACATACGCAACATATTAATCTACATTTGCAACATCCGCATGAAACAATTACAACATACTTATGAAATATCTGAAACAAACGCTTGCAACTTGCACTTTCAAACGCCGGCTCAGATCCATAGCTGCTGCCCTAATAGGAGGAGAATAGAACCCACCACGGTCGCGGCCGGACCAGAGGGCGAGATCTGGGATGGGGAGCGGGTGGAAGGCATGGACTAGGGCAACGCCGCGCGCCCGTGCCAGAGCTGTGCGTCCCATGCTAGAGCATGATCGCGCGCCCGCTCCGGATCTGCGCTCGCGCCGGGGCCGTCGCTGGGGTCACGCCCGTCCCCGCACCAGAGTTGAGGCCAGGGGTGGAGATACAGATAAGACCATGAAACCTGCCTATGTATCATCAGGAAGAGGATTAAATGTAAACTTGAGAAGGCTTGGTTATGAGCATCTCACTCAAGGGTGGTGGTGCAATGGGATTGTTACATCCTGTGTGTGCGTAATGATTTGTCACTTTCGCCGCATTTGTAACAGCAAAATATTAGGCGCAAGGAGATAGGAAATGATGGTACAGGGTAGCAGCAGTAGCCCGATCAATTGCAAAAGGAAAGGCCAGTCCGTCAAAGACAGGAAAGGAAAAGGTCCACAATAACTCCCTCAACTTTTGCGAAAGTCCGTTTTTCCTCCCTAAACTTCAAAATCGGACAAAACACATCCCTCGACTTTTAAAACCGTTCATCTTACCTCTCTGACACTGTTATAAGCGGTTTTGAAGGCAGTTTTATCTTTTTCTTTTTTATTTATTTTGGCTAAATCTTTGAAAAATCATAGTAAATCACAGAAAAATCATAAAATAGAAAATCTAATTTTTTGGACTCCACATGAGTATATCTACACAGTGAACATATAATATGGTATGATTTAGTACAAAGTTTTTGCTGTAACTTTAAATCTATGCTTTTATGTAATTAATTAGAATAATTCATAACTATAGTTTCTATGGTCCAATTGTGATGATTTTTTTATGGTGGGCTGATTATTGTATGATTGAACTGTAGTAAAAATTTTATACTCATTCGATCATGTATAGCTTAGTTATAGATTTATTTATATTTAACAAGTATAAACCTAAATAAAATATATAACTAAGTTATACATGATCTAATGAGTATGAAAGTTTTACTATAGTTTAAGCATACAATAATTAGCCCACCATAAAAATTTCACCATAACTGAACCATTGAACTACAGCTATGAATTATTTCATTTAATTACAGAAAACCATAAATCTAAAGCCACATTAAAAACTTTGTACTAAATCATACCATATTATATATTCACTGTGTAGATCTACTCATGTGGAGTCAAAAAAATAGATTTTCTATTTTAAGATTTTTCTGTGATTTACTATGTTTTTTCAAAGATTCAGCTGAAATAAATAAAAAAGAAAAAGATAAAACTGCCTTTAAAACCGCTTATAACAGGGCCAGGGAGGTGAACGATTTTAAAAGTTGAGGAAGATGTTTTGCCCAGTTTTAAAGTTTGGAAAGAAAAAGCGGACTTTCGCGAAAGTTGACGGAGTTATTGTGGACTTTTTCCGACAGAAAATGATGGCCTGTTTTGCTGGTAAAGGCCCAGATGCTCTGCATGAGCCCAGGTGCGCGGGACTGGAGCAGAACCGAGAGCCACAGGCAAGAGGCATGTGGCCTGTGGCCTGGGGTGGTGGGCTGGTGGCCGGCGTCGCGGAATGAAGGGAAATGGGCCGGTGGCGCCGTGGCGGCTGGTCAACGCCGCAGTGCTGCTCCACTTGAGAAGCTGGTCGCGCCACACGTCACACAGGATCACTGTTGCTTCCGTGGCGCCGTGCGTTGCTCTTGCTCCGGGCTGGTCACGAGCTGGCTCGGTGACATGATCACACTTCGCTCACAAAATCAACAATTCACTATTACGGCAGTACCGGTAGGCGCAAAAGGTTACTTGCGCCCCCAACGGAAATTCGGATTGCCATATGAGAGCAGCTTTACTGACGCGATTGCAGTCAACGAGAGCAAGCAAAATGTAAACTCGACAAGCATTGAGAATCATGTACTGAAGGACTTGATTAGTACAGTCTATTGAACTAATGATAATATGATATTATTCTACTTCGTTTCCGTTCGGCCATTCCCCTTCCATATCCAAGACTTGTATTGCATCTGCTCTCTCTTAGTCTTTCCAGTCACTCCTATGTAGTTTAGGCTAAGTACCCGACCTTACAAATTCTACCTTTCCCACAGATGCGTCTGGGTCAAAAACCCAAGTACAACACTAGTAGTGGTAGCAGTACATTACATAGCAACAGTATTCACATCAACGGACTGCAGCTTGAGGATCATCACTCTGCGAAAAAAACACTTTACGGTCTTCACAGGCTTGGCTGAACCGCATTTGGAGCAACCTGCAGGGTGAAGCTGAAGTTGTTAAACGCAAAATCAACGGTATATAGTATAGAAACCCCCTCCCTCTCCAAGAAAAGAAAGAGAAAGGTGTGAAATGTGCTTAACTCGAAGTAGCCTGTGAAAATCTTCCTATGTTAGGCACAAAGCAGCCACTGACATGCGTGGTGCGTACTTGACTACTTGTTCTCCCAAAGAAAAGAAAAGAGCGCAAAAAATTCAACCCGTTGGCTCCTATTTGAAGCCAGCAAAAAAGAGAAAAGAAATGTCAGAGAGTCAATCGATGAGCCATCACTACATCACATCTAATCCCTTGTAAACTTATTGCAGTACCATATGCGTGCTCATTGTTACCTGAATTGGTCTTTCTTCACGCAGGCTTGAAGTTCTGTGCTTTAGCTCTCCCCGATTGGTTGTGAGTTCATCCAATATCTCTGCATCAGGACGGCTAGGACAACTTCCTACGTCAGATACCTCATCTTCCTGTGCAGGAAAACCATATTTCTATTAACAAACGGGTCAAGCATACAAAACACCGAAAAATGGATTCAAAGCGAAGGCAAGATGAATGTATACCAGATTGTGTTCAAGGGGGACCCCATCAAGTTCTTCATACTCAGCTGCATCGAGTTCCCTCAAGACAATGGGATCAAAAAATTTTGGGAGGAGATACTGCCTGATGATAATCATAAGGAAGAAAGGCACTGGGAACAGGATCCCGGCTATCGGTATCCATGTTATGCCGAAGCATATTACGAGGTAAACCAATTGAAAGATCGTGAAGATGGTTATTGTTTTGGGAACCACTGACTCCACAAAAGATGCATGGGGACCTTCAAGAACCCTGAAAATGTTACAGACACGGTGTAACTGATGATTAATCGCAAAGGAGGAACACAGGCTATATGCATTATTCCCATGTTAGTCCAATTGTTCAACTGAAGTGAATTGATGCAGAACAGAGATATTACTTGTGGCGTCGGCTTTCTGCAATGAACAAAAGCTGTATCCTCTCCCAGAACTGATTCCCTGGTAGACTGTCAATGGCCATGTAGGCAAAGTAACCCCAGAGAACTGATGTTGGTATCATCCTGATGACTGGCATAGCTCCGACACAACCACCAACCAATATGGATTGTAGCAGATTACTCAATCTCTGTTCATTCACTCGAACAGGCAAGTGGGCTTCTATATGTTTCCGAGGGTCAAACTCTCTAGCCAATTTCCCTTCTTCATCGAATTCTTGTAGAACAGCATCCTTAAAGTTCTTCAACTCCTTGCCAACAGAATCAGTCTGAAAGACCACATGTTGAGCATTAGTGTTATTTTACTTGTAAGTTGTAACATTCCAAAAAAAAAAAAAAACGTGGACAGCATTTAGGTAGTAGTTAGGTACTGGACCAAAATTAAGGAGAATTCATATGTAATTGGTAAAGGCAAATTGCTGTAAGTTTCAAAGGCTTTGTTATTGTTGACATGTATAAATAAGTCAAGTAACAAAGAGTCAAAAGACTCACATTCTGTTCGCTATCCATTTCGATGAAAACTTCTTCCATCTTGCCATATATTTCCAAACTGGTAGCACTTCTTCCTATGCTCTCCTTGGCAGTATCAACCATCTTTTTGCTTAGCAACTGAATTTAAGAGACTGAAATGTATGAGGAAAGCTTATTACATTAGCAAACCACATAAATCAATTTGAATTTCACCAACCTGCCTCTTAAGGACAGCAAGACTTCTTGTGTGCATGGGAGACTGAGGAAGGACTCCATTAGATGGAGGGATGCCAAGCAAACCACAGAACAGGACCTGACATTTTTATAGCATGAGAAAAGGAACTAAACAGCCATAAGATCTGAACTAAAAACGCGGACCAAGGGCATGTATCATTTCTATACTATATATTGGGAAAAAAAATATATTGTCATACTTAGTCTAACGAATGTGATTGAGATACCAAGAAACTGAGGTTAAATTACAACCAAATGGAAAATCTAAATAAACAATTTGTATGATAGAGACTTATATGCCACATACCATGATTCCAAGGACCAAAATGTCATAGTGGTAGGCAGAAGGCTTCTTCAAATTATACTCCTTTTGCTGTGCCAACTGTGAAGCTACGCTATGATCAAAGAAGTAAAGTCCTGCAACCATCAAAGCAGGCAGAATGGCTGCAAGTATATACGCTGGAGGGACGGAAAACAAATCCTGACAGTAAACAGAAGAGAAAGCATTCAGAATCATGTCATGCAGCCATGCAGGAAATCTCTATGAAAGTTTGCACTTCTACAACCAATAATATTGCATCTCAGAATAATAAGCAAGCGACTTATTACCCTTGCTATGGTCCAGTGTCCCTGTGAACTTGACTCCCAGGGAAGTGGAGAGAAAAGCCTCCTGGGGACTCCTGAAGGCACCTTGCCCGGCAGTGTATACGACAATGCTGTCCACACAATCACCATAAGTGGGACGCCGTAATCAGCTATAAAGCTTCTAAGCCACCCTGTAAATGGCAAATCAAAGTGTATGGTCAGGTGCGCAGATACCACTAAATAAGAAATAAACTATCTACGAAACATTTAATGGCTTATTTAGCATTAATTCTTTTTTCTCAGATTTAACGGGCTCAGACCAAAATGTATTAGAAAATTAAAAAAAAAACGAGATCCAACCTAGGAGTTACTAGATGGCTTTTCATTGAGAGAAAATAGTTAATAGGAACCCAAATTCAAGCCGAACCTTGATAGTAGAGTGCACGACCACATCTGTCACGCAACAAGTTGAGCTAGGCTCACTTCCATAGAAAAAATAGAATTGTCCATACAAATAAACAGGAAGTAAAACTGGAGTTGAAGACTGATAAGAAAACATAAAGCTCTCAACACAACTCCCATCTGATGTGGGCCAGCCCAAACCAGGACAAGCACAAACATAAAAGAAGTCGAGCATGGTCTACAGGTCTGTTCGCTTGGTCGTAAACGATCGTAAATTTCCAGCCAGAACAGTATTTTTCTCTCACACCAAACCAGCCAGCAGTAAATAATCCACGATCGTTTACGGTCTGCCGAACAGGCTGCTAGTCCAAACTCAGGTCTGACATTCAGGCCTGATCCGATCGGCAATCCAGTTCAGATGAGAAATGTTTATTCCCTCCGTCCACTTTACAACTATTTTATTTTGGAAAAAAGGGATTTATATTTCATTTGCAAATAATTAGTTGTTTGCATGTGTCTGTAGAAAGGTTGTACTCATGGATTTAGATTCGGAAGTGTTTTAATATAATATTGTAATACATACCATAAGAGAAACTAAAGGCCAAAAACCTACTTTTGAAAGATTATTCATATACCAAAAACACAAAGTAAAACAAAGGGCTGAGGAACTATTGTGTTAGTAGGATTCAGGGTTGAGCTGTCTCTCTTCTATCTATATCAATGAAATAGGCATGAGCTCGTGCCCGAGCCCGTTAGTTAAAAAAAAGTTAGACTGTCTATGGAGTCTGGATCAATTGAATGGCTTTATATTGCACAGCAAGCTACACTCAGCTTTAGGTATAACATTACAGATGTAAAATAAAAAGAGTAGAAAGAGTGACCAACCTATGCCATATAGCCATGACCTTGCCCGCCTGGTCCTCAATGCAGTATACAGCAAGCCAATTGAAAATATGACACCGAGTAGGCCATTGACATACAGCCACTGGAATTGGTATATTGGTGAACTGCTGTCAGCATCTTCGGGCACACTAAATTCCCTTATCATCCCCTGCATTAGACAACCCGTTTTAAATATTTCTGCCATGTAAGAAATAAATCGGATTTACTAGTATCATAGTACCTTGATAGCTTCTTGCAAGAACAGAACAGTGATTAACATGCCAAAAAGTTCTCCTGCAACCCTTGTAAATCTGCTAATAACGTTGGAAGCATTGAACATTGCCAAAAGAAACAACATGATGGCAGTCCAGATGCAGACCCTACAGACAGAGAGGACATATCAAGTCCGGTTTATCTGAAAGCTAACACGGGTTCAAATGCGTTCTATTTCAGTCATTACCATCCAGCCCACGCCAAATATAGCTTCTCACCCAGAGCTTGCTGATTTTTGGCAAAGTTGTAGAGATAAGTGTACATGATAATAGTTGGTTCAGCAACTCCAACAATCAATAAAGGCTGCCCTCCAAGAATTGAATGTATGATGCCACATATCGCAGTCGATGCCAATGTTTCAACTGTTGTGAGAATACCATCTGTAACGAAAGTATATTGTTTTGTTACTGCTTTTGTGATATACAGGCCTAACTAGCATAGTAGCACAAGGCAAGGCCTTACTTGTTGCCGTGCTCAGTTGTGCTCCAAAGGCAATGACAGGAAGAGCAGAGGCAAAGAAGATATACATGGTAGGTGCCAATATCCTGATGATCCATTTGCCAGCAATACAAATAAGCTATGCAATTAACAGGAATAGTGAACAGACGAGACATGCATAATTACTAATAACGACCCAGCACAAATACGTTACACAAAACTGACCTAAAGCCAGAGTGAGTCCTGCAACCCAATCATGCTTGTACCAAGTGGCCCTTCCTTTGATATCAGTGACAACTCCCTTGAAGGGATGCCTTAGTAGATCCATAACCTGAGAGAGGAATTAATAAAGTGGAGGCTTAAATGGAAAATAATGAAATGACGCTTAACATAGGATCATCAGGCGGCTCATCCACAAACAAAGCAGGCTCTTTTTTTAGGGGAAGGGAAGATCAGAGCCAATCACTAGATAGATTAGAGAAAGTTCATGTACCAAAATGGCCTAGCTGTCCATGAAAAATAAAAAAAGTCAATTTGGGCAAACTTTGACATCAGAAGCCATCATATGCGTGTTGTGTTCATGACTTATATAATGTATGTAACGTGAGGTTCTGAATTTCTTCGTGCAACAACTTTTTAAATAACCATTCTAACAATATAATTCAGCAGGTTATATCTAACTAGACGAAAACTTGTGCAAAATCCTCTGATGATGAACTAGATTAGAGCACTAAAAATTGTTCCAGCGGATAATTGCAGCTCACGGTCTGGTCCAAGAGGCCCCTCTTCCATGGGTGGGGCCCAGTCCTAACCCAGAGTTTAGGAAACGAACGAACGAACGCATCAATTTTCCACGACGACTTGTAACTTTGTAAGGAGAACAGCTCACCAGCTATAGTTACCACGTCCAGAACCGATCAAATAAAGGAGTAATAAAAGACTTTCAAAAGAAAAAGACGCGACGCACGGGTAGCGCAGCTACGTGCGACGAATTTTCTCGGAAGATGAGGAAACCCAGCGGTGGAAAAACAAGAGCACGAGATTCAGATGCTGGTGCCATTTCAAACCCACATGAACAGAAACCGGAGTTACGAACGAACATGCGCAACTTTTCTCCCCGCCGTTAAGTTACGACAGCTCACGCACGGAAGCACCCCACCACTGCGTTGAGATCGGAGACATCCACGAAAACCTCAACAAATTCCCCACAAAAATCTCCGGATGGCCGGAGAGCGGAGAGAAACCACCCACACCGTTTTGGTTCTAAAAACACACACATACACATAGTGAAAGCACGAGTCATGGTGCATGGACGCATGTACACACACCGCCAAAAAAAAGGAAAAAAAAAGGCGACGCCAGAATGGTCTGACGACACCATGAACAACTCCGAATCTGCAGACGTAAACACAAACTAATCCATTATCCAACGATGAGCTAACGCGCATGTACATCGACCGAGCAATCGGACCGAAGCCACCCGATCGGGGACGGGGAGTAGATCGAAGCCGTACCGTTTACGGCGCGGCGGCGGAGGAGAGTTGGCGGGCGAGTTGACGACGCGGCGGTTGTCGAGGCCGAGTGCCCCCGAATGCCGGTATTTATAAGCGAAGGCGTGAAATTGGGAGGAGAAGACGAGACATGGGAGTCGAGAAGGAAGGCAAGCCGAGCGCGGCGAGGGAAGTGAGAGGAGGAGGACGCGCTCTCAATAAATCCTGCTGTCTCGTCTCGCTCTCGCTCACTGACGAGTTGGGCTGGGCCGCTGGGGCGACTCTTGTCCACCTTCGCTGGCTGACGAGTGGAGCCGCAAGTGCCACTTGGAAGGGCCCCGCTGCTGGGGGTCCACCCGGCACGTAGCGTAGAGCCGTGGATGGAGGAGGAGCCGGGACCGCCTGGCCCTGGCCCGGCAGTGCGCAGGCCGCGCCCGCACCGCATCGGCAATTCGGCATCGCTGTTTTCCGTTCCATGCGACCTGCGAGCAGTGTGAGCATTATACTTGGCCAAATGGGCTGGGCCACTGGGCCGGCACGGGCAAGGCACTAAAAAGCCCGCCCGAGCACAGGCTGGCCCGAGGGCCATCGTGCCGTGCCGTGCATGGCCCGGTGATAGAGCCGTGCCTGGGCCATGACTTCGGCCCGCAGTGCCGGCCCAAACATGGCACGGTTAATGGGCTGGCACTATGCGGCCCAATCTATTTCCACCGTTGGATGAACTCTAGACGAATTTACAGCCCTTGGATGAAAATTATGAGGTATATAAGCACCACTTTCTCCTCCTAACCCTAACTCCTTCACTCTCTCCTCTCCTATCTGAGCACCACACGACACCTTCTTCACCACAACGACTTCTTTACCACTGGCAATGGCACATTATTAGCGGGTGGGCGCCGACCGCAATGGCGCCGCGATTCGTGCGGTGGAGCGCTCACCACGCGCGGCGCTCATCTCTGTGCGTGGCAGCGCTCATTTATACAGGCGGGCGCGCGTGCTGTGGTGGCGGCGCGGGGGCGTCGATTCACTCCTTGGGCGGAGCCGGGCTCATGGAAGCACGCCGGGACACCGTGCTCGTCGGCACAGCACGGCAAACAAGCTATAGGGTCGTGCCTGGGCCAAGACTTCGGCACGGCAGCACGATGCGGCACGGCACGGCTACGGCACCATGCCCAATAGTGCCGTGCCCAACCATGCCGTGCTTGGCCGTGCCGTGCGGCCCGGTTGGCCATGTATAGTGAGCATGCACACCATCGGTGTATTTGATTGGGTGGCCAACCCCTAACATGGCTCCCTGGAGCCAATTTTGACTTGTTTGGTTGCCTGGAAGTGGGTTGGGGCCTAGCTAGGACTGACCATCCGTACCCCTTTAGCCTAGCTAGGATTAAACGATCAAATCGGTCGTTCTTCTGGAGCCAAGCCGGATCCAGCCTCGAGCTGAGTTTCTCTCACCACCCGGTGCTCCTCCTTCTCCCCTGCTAGTGCTCCCCTGCTTGCGCGGTGCTCCTCCTTCTCCCCCACCCGGTGCTCCCCCTTCTCCCCGCCATGATGTTCCCCTCTGGCGGCGTGGTGCTCCCCGTCGGTGCTCCTCCTTCTCTCCCGCGTGCCCTCCTCCTCCTCCCCATCGGTGCTCCTTCTCCTTCTCCCACCACCACCGTCACCGCGATTTGACACGCGGCATGGTCGACCCACTTCGCCGAGACGAACACGCGCTCCCCCACCGCCCCGTCCTCCTCTCGCGATGCGGTCCTTCTCCGGCCTCGCGCCCCTCGCTTCGGATCTGGTCGGCGTTCACGGGTGGGTCGCCCAAGCTCCCGCCACTGCTGCAGATACTCAGCGTGTTCCAGCAGCCTTTGCGCGTCTGCTCTCTGTGCTCTCCCAAGCTTCCAATGTTGGCGGTGATGGCGTGGTGCCGTGAGCATGAAGCGAGCTGAAGCGCACAAAAGGTGGTGCACGATGGTGCCGCCGCCAAGTCGCCGCTGACAGGAGCCGCCGAGGTCCGCGGCCTCGGCGACCCACGGGTCCCTCCGCTCTGCCGCTTTCAAGCTGCAGCCAGCCACAGGACTGTCGCCAGCGGCATCTTCGATGGCGGCCGGGAGGACTCACGATGTCGTTGAGGCACACAAGCGGCGCGCATGACGGATCGGGCTCTGCGGCGTCGGCCATGGCTTGCTCTCCCTGCTCGCCTTAAAGGTGTTCGACGAATTGCTTCAAAGGAGGTGAAGTTACCAGAAAAAGAAGAGGTGACTCTATCCAAATCAAATCAGCCAACCAAACAAACTAGTTGCTAGCCAGGCTTAGATAGTGTAGACAACCAAATAAGTCCATCTTGGCTGGCTGAAGGCAGGTTTAAACTAGGCTGGCTTATTTTCTAGCCAGGATAGAAGTTGGCCGTGAAACAAAACACACCCCATAAGTACGTAGATGTAGCAGTAGTGCCACCCCCAGGAACAGAAGCACGATATGATACTAGTGGTGTTCGAGGGGAAGGGGACAACGTGCAGGATCCGGACCAAGCGCGCGCGCCCCCTCCAAGGACGACGATGAAACACACACGAAAAGCTCTCGCGCACACGGCGATGGTTTCGTTTTGCTTCTTTTTCCATGCCTAGCGGCGCAAAGGCTTTCCAGTCCGGACGCCCCCCACGCGGCGCGCGCCATATCAGCCGCGCGCACCGTATCCAGGAGACGGGTGCAGGGCCGAGGTCGGAGCTCCCCACGTCGTCGGCACTCGCGCCAGTGACGTCGGTGTCACTGCAACAGAAACTGCCTCGGCCAAGGGATGTCGTAGCTCCACCGAAAAAACACTACCACCACCAGTCCACCTTGCCACACACATGTCCACAAGGTGATCCTTCGCGGCCGAGTGTAAATTTGCCTTTACGGCAGTACTTCTTGAAGGGTCACATGCATGGCCCATCACTCGTTTCTTGTGATCCCAGGTTGGAGTTGGAGCAATAAATATCATAATATTTTTTTTACAAAAAAGGTATACTTGATGCACCTTGCAGATTTTTTTTTTAAAAATGGGAACAATATATACAATTTTTAGAAAGAACACCAAAAGCTTTGCCCTGATTTTTATTAGACGAAGAAAGAAAGAAAAAGGACAGGTGTTAGCCTAGTTTTTTGAATGCAAACTAGACACGGAAATCATACCACTAAGGAGACTGCTCCACTCATCTAGCAGGAGGGGGTGTTTAGCAGGAGGGGGTGTTTGTTTCTTTAGTCGCTCCTAAAATTTATGTCACATCGAATGTTTAGATACTAATAAGGAGCATTAAATATAGATTAATTACAAAACCAATTACATAGATGGAGGCTAATTCCAGAGATAAATTTTTTAAGCCTAATTAATCTATCATTAGCACATGTTTACTGTAGCACCACGTTGTCAAATCATGAACTAATTAGGCTTAAAAGATTCGTCTCGCAAATTAGTCGCAAGTTGTGCAATTAGTTTCATAATTAGTCTATATTTAATACTCCATGCATATGTCCAAACATTCGATGTGACAGGAATTTTAGGAGGTGGCTAAAGAACCAAACAAGGCCTAAATATGGTACAACGACCGAACAGCCGTCAAACTCATGCCACCACTTGCTCCAACTTGATCGAAATGACCCAACTAACAACTTAACTTGGTCGAAAAAACGACCCAACTATCACCTCACCTTGTTCTAAAAGACCCAACATGCAAGCACTAGCACAGCACACTCGGTCTTCAAAGTGAAAGTGGATCCAATATGTTTAATATACAATAGTACTTCAGTAGTGTTTTTCAGTTTTGCCCAAAGCTAAACCGTTCTACTCTTGACCATCGATTTTTTTTTAAAAAAAAAATTCTGGATAGTTACGTTTAACATCATAGGATTTATGTTGTTACATTTACCATGATATTTTCACAATATATAATTCTCATGTTGCACTGTCAAATTATATGAATTTATAAAATTGATGATCCGCCTATGTAGTTAACATTGTCTCTCGCAGAAAACTAGCTACTACTATTAATTACAGTACTTCTCAGGCTCCGGCCATAAAAATAACGCCAACAGTATGAGCTAGCAGACATTATTTCTACTCTTGGAGACGCGTAAGTGTTACCAACTCACACAGCATCTCAATCTGAACTGCTCGATCGGCAAGCAACAATCGATCGTTGGTGCTGAAAATAACAACAATGCACAAAGCGTGCATCCATATATGCACACGTAATAAGAAAAAAGATAGCGATGGGGAATATGCGGTGTGGGTGGTGCACTGGTGTTCAGAATTGCTACTGCATACAGTAACACGCGTTGCATTGCAAGTTGGCACTGTCAGGCTAAGTTGCCAATTAGGGCAAGTTGAGCACATGACACCAGTAACCACAACAGCCCACACGCAAGTGTATGTACGTTCCTTGTGTTCTCTGGGAGCCACAGGTTGCATTTTTCTATGGAGCCTGGGGATTTTTTTTAATTTTAACACTTTTTCGAAATTAATTTTAAATCTAACATGGTCGGTTTTTTTTTAAAACTAACACTTTTGGTCGCGCCTATTGCCCTGGTGCTGCGCCATGCATGGTGACGCGGCAGAGGTCTGACGTGGCGACGACCGGACCACGATCGCTCGCGATCAAGCGTGGCCTGCCGCGTCACCGATCTTGGCGCGGCAGGGTCGAATAAAACCCCCGCCGCGTCCCGCGTCCGCCAGTGGCCGAGCAGCCGCCGCCGCCGAAAGCAAAGAAATAAGAAGAAGGGCCGCTTGTCACCGCCAGGCTTCGCGTCATGCCGTGCCACCGCCACCGCCGAAGCATGCCGACCGCCAGCGCACGTCACCACAGCGATAAGCACCAAGTCGCCCAAGACACCAGACCAGCCCCAGCCGAAACACGACACGACACGCCGGCCGCTCGCCGGTGTGGTGGCCAAGGCCACTGCCGCCACGCCACCTCCTCCGACCACGCATGGCGGCTGCCACGAGAGGCTGCGCAGCGCCTCCTGCCCAGATCTAGCCTACTGCAATGTAGGTACTCCCCTAATATAGTTAGTATAGTTAATAAAGTTAGTAAAATTATTAAAGTATAGTTAGTATAGTTAGTAAAGGTAGTTAGTTTAGTTAGTATAGGTAATATAGTAAGTTAGTATAGATAGTTTAGTTAGTACAGTTATTGAGTCTAGTTATGTATTGGATTTAGTCTAATTAGTTGTTGTAGTTAGCCTTGTATAGATGTTAATATTAGATTAGTTAGTATAGTTATAATTAGAATATGTATTAATATTACTACGAACATTACGTACGACGATTTCGACGACTTGATGAAGTTTGTTGAAATGTTTTTGCAGATGGATTGTTGTGTTAGAGTTTTGTATGGAGGAAGTGTTAGGAGAGAAGATGGTATGTTTGAGGATATGGAAGAAGAATTGGAATGGTTTGATGAACATCCTAGCTTCAACGACCTTTGTGTCCGTTT